CTAAGCGAGATTGCATTTAAAAAAAAAAAAAAAGGAAGAAAGAAAGAAAAGAAAAATGGAAACGGGACTAAGGGTGTGACTCAGCTGGTAGAGCACTTGCCTAACGTGTACATGGCCTGGGTTTGAGACCCAGCACTGAATAAAACTGAAAGTAATGATACACCCACATAAATCTAGCACTCAGAAGGTTGGGGCAGGAGGTTCAGAAGTTCAAGGTCATCCTAGGCTACATAGAGAGTTTGAGGCCAGCTTGAGCCAGGAGATGAGGGCTTCATTGCTCCTGATGGGTTGCTAGCCTTTCTTGAAGGTTCTCTTTCTTCAGAAGCCTGATATGAGACTGTATCTCAAAGTTGAAAAAAAAAAAATGCTTGCCTAGCATCTACAAGGCTCTACACTCATAACCATAGCCTAGGACTGCAAAATAAATAAATAAGCACAATCTGTTTTAAATGCACAAAGAATTTAATAGACATTCTCCAAAGAAAATACACAATGGCCAGCACATATGGAAGGATGTTTAACATCATTAGTTACCAGGGAAATGCAAATCAAAATCACAAGGAAATACTGTTTCACACCCACTAGAATGCCTCTGCTAAAAAAGACAGTAACAAGTGTTGACAAGGATCTGGAGCAATTACGTCACACGCTGCCGGTGGAAATGTACAATGGTATAGCCACTCTGGGGAAGAGCTGGCGGTTTCTCAACTGAGTGAATACAGAGTTACCATCAACTGCTACTATTCTCCTCGGTGAGGCTCTACACATATGTGGTTCCCAAAGGGGCCAACAAACCCGAGGCAGGGCCATATGGATGCTAGGACTCCAATCTGGGTTCTCCGTAAGAGCAGCCAGTGTTCTTAACCACTGAGCCATCTCTCCAGCAAACCGCCCCACCTTAGCCCCCAATATTAAAATGTGCACCAGGCCAAACACCCACTAAGTGGCAGAATAAAGACTGAGAACCAGATCTGTCCACTATTCTCTTGACTCTAGGCCATGCTACCTGTTCTGTGTTCCTTCAGAGAGTACCTATTCCCTAACCCCAGACCCTTTGAACTATATTATCATCCACTAGAGTCTCAGATTTCTTTTTCTCCGCACTGGTGCTGCCCTGCCCGGTCTAACATCTCCTACCCTCTCTTCCTCCACAGAGACCAGGGGCTGTACGTTTTATCCAGGGACTCCTATGACAACACTGAGTTCAAATGCCTCTCTTAAAAAACCAAAACAAAACGGTTCTTTTAAAGGGGCTTCTCTTCTCCACTCGGAAGTAAACCAACCGACTAATGAGGTGAGTGGCTTTTGCCATAGACATATGCATTCACATCTGAAAAACCGTTTTAGCTCTAGACCAACGTGACTAAAGGTTTGAAAGACTGATAAACTGAAGAAAAGGAGGTATCTGAAATCTAAAGTGGTAAAGAGGTGTAACAGGAAGTTTCTGAAGAAAGGGAACCTTCAAGAAAGGCCAGCAACCTACCAGGAGCAAAGCGGCCCTGATCCCCTGGAGAAATGGCCTTCTGGGTACCTATCTCATATGCGACCTCAACACCTTGCTGCTGTAGTCCAGAATGAAATACGACAACTAACTGATCTTCAAAGCTCACTTGTCCAGGGTGGTGCACCGCATCCCACTCCCATCTTCCTGGAAGCATCACGTGCAGATGTGTGTGGATCTTGCCTAAAGACAATGCTTTTCCAGCTAGCCCATGAGACTTCCTTAAAGTTAGCAAAGGGGAATGGTGACCACTACGTCCGCTAGTCACTCAGAGCCTTCCATCACATGCCCATGTCTTTGTAGACGTATTACCTGCCCATGAGAAAACCAAATGCTAACACATTCCCAGGTACGCACAGCAGGCGCACACAAGTGCATAGACATGAACACACACACACACACACACACACACACACACACACACACACACACACACACACCCCTTCCTAGATCAGCACATACTCAGGTTCTGTAGCAAGACCATCTAACCTTGGTCATGGCTAAGAGAGAAAAAGGAACAAGAGACCTGTCACCCAAGGACCCCCACTACAGCTGGTGGAGTGGCGCACGCCTTTAATCCTAGCACTTGGGGGAAGAGGCAGGCGGAGCTCTGTTGTGCTCGAGGCCAGCCAGGTCTACAGAGTGAGTTCCAGGACAGCTAGAACTACAGAGAAACTCTGTTTGAAAAACCAAAACCCAAACCAAACCAAAAGAACTGTCACTAACCAACAGAGCCTCTTGGTGCTGGACAAGGAACTGTATCTTACAGTGACCACGGGCAAGCTATCCTCTGCCAAAGGCTACGGCCTCACATGTGAAATAAGGGACCCAAAGTTGCCACCTTCAGGCTTCTACCAGCTCTCTGCCCAGACAAGACGCTTTCTAGTGAGAAGCAGGATGTCAAACAAAATCAAGGACTGACCTCCAGAAAGGATATAGGATTATAGGGTTCACATTTGCTGACCCAGTTTCCCTGGAAATGTCAGATGACCCCAGAAGCAGCAAGAAGCAAGAGGAACAAACTGTTTCACCGTAGACCTCCAGCAGCTTTAGAGGTCCAAGCACCACACTACCCTGTCAGGACACTCATTAACCCCAGTGATGATATGGAAAAGGTAACCTGGGCAAGACCAAGAAGCCGGCAAGGATCTCACATACACATGCACGCTTCTATACGGGACAGGGATCTGACATGCTGGCTGAGGCTGCGGTTTCTCAATCTCTAGGTCTTCTACCAAAGCAACAGAAGATGAAGTCTTGTTGACCCTGGGTCATTGTTTCGTTTTACAAACAATTTCAAATGTTCAGAAGAGCCGGGGAGCCTCAAGAATGAAATCCACGGTAGATCCAACACTTCATTTCCCTCATTCTAAACTTGGGGTCTGTTCCAAGTGTGGGGACTCACAAAGAAATGGTCAGAAGGCAAGGAGCAAGCCCTCGAGGAGGAAAAGGGCAGACCCTAAACAAACAACACATAAACAAAGACAACCAGCTCAAACTGTCCACGTCCAACTTCTTAGCAGAGGCTTCTGCACAATCTCAGAGCACCCAGAACCCGGGGCACCACTCATCTCGGACAACAATCACCTTTATCACATCCTGGAAAACCACAGGATAGACGAGAAGTCAACGTCTTGAAATAAACACCACAGAAAACGGGGAAGACATATTATTTCTATAACCAGATCTACACTCTCTCGGGCCTTGTGTCCACTCTTCTTCATCCAAGGGGACCCAAGTCATGTGTCTGTGGTTCGGAGAAGCGGAGGCTTCTCCAGTCGGTACATCTTCATGAAGAAGAAGAAGAAAAAGGAAACCCAGAGAGGATTTCCACAGCCAGGGGTAAGAAGGCCTAGAGGATGGGAAACTTTGGGTAGCCACATCAACCAAACGACCACAAACAGGAATAGTCAGGCAAACCAGTGCCACTTGCCCTGTCAACTGGGCAACGATCTGGCAGCCAGCGATAAGGGACAAGGGGAATGAATAGCCATGCAACAAGCAGGCTGAGGTTAGAAGCGGCGGCGGCGGCGGCGCAGCACCCAGGCCTCCCCTCGAAGCTCCGGGAGCTGCACAGATCAAGCATTCGGACGCAGGAAGCCAGAGGGGCAGGAGCGAAGGGGAGACGGCGACGGCATAGCACGGGGACACCAGGCCTCGCGTGGCGAACGGGGAGTGCACGCCGGGCCGGACAGCGTGCACGGGTGGGCGGGCATGCAAGTGGCTCGGCGGAGGGGTTGCAGGCGTCACCCGCGGGGCGAGCGTGGCGAGGCCCGGGGGAGTAGGGGCGCGCACGGGGAAGCTGGTTACCGTGTGGTTCACCCCCCACATCAGGACGCTGAGGATCGGCTCGCTGGCCCGGAATAGCTTCACTTTCTGGCACACGAAATGCTTCTTCTTGGTCTTGGTTTTGCTGGCGCTGAGCGGCGCCACCGCCACCGCCGTGGTGCTGGTGCAGTTGGACGACATGCCCGGGGCGGCGGCGGCGGCGGCGGCGGCGGCGGCGAAAGGGGGGGTGGCGGAGACAGCGCACCAGCGAGCGGCCCCAGGCCTCCCCCGAACCGATCCCCACCCCCGCTGCCTCACGGAGCCATGGTCGCGCCCGTCCCGTTACCTCCCCACCCCGCCCCGGTGGTTCCGTCCGCCCCACGCCCCGCCCTCGCCGCCCCGCCCCGCCCCGCCCCGCCCCGCCCCGGGGAGCGGGCCAGCCCGCTCCTCACCCCGCCCCCGGGCGGCACCGCCCACCTACTCCCGGCCGTCCCTGCCCGGTCGGAATGGTAGCGCCCGTCCCGGGAGCCTGCGGCCGCCCCGCCCACCCCTCCTCCCCGGGCCTGCCGGGAACCCAGCCGCGTTCACGCGCACGAGTGAGGAAGGGGGGAATGGACAGCCTTGAGGCGCTCCATAAGAAAGGCTCCTTGCTCAAGCCCTCCCAAAGCCGGGCTTTGGCTAGGCCTCAACCTGAGGTGACCAAGATGGCGGCAGCGCCACCGCTTCGGGAGGGGTGGAGGGGCCGGCACGCGAGGAGGCTGGGACATACCATCCCCACCCCGGGGGAGAGAGGAATAACGCGGCCGGGGGAAAAGGAAGTCCTGCCTGGAACACCGGGGACCGCCCCCTCGCTCCACCCAAGCGTGGATCTTCCCACTCCCCTGGGCCGACGGCGCGCTCCGCCCGCGGGCACGCCCCCTTTTCCCGAGGCCAATCAGAGGAGCAGGCCCGGAATCGTAGGTTTTATGAATGGGCCGCGCGCCCACCCACCTGCCGCCTGGCCTTCTCTAAACTGAGGGTCAAGTTTGAGACCGCTAGCACCTGCGGACGCGTATCCTAATAATCTTCTCAGTCTTGCTCCACGCAATCTGAGTAAACCACCCACGGTTTATTACGTAATTCATCTTGGACGAAGGATCTCTGTATTCGACACAAATCACAGGTCAACATTTGTGCCGGGATATGAAAACTCAGTACCGCGCACGTGGTCGGTCGCTCTTTACACAGTTACAAAAATAAATGTAGCCTTTATTACCAAGTAATAAAATAAAAGCCACAATTACCCGTAGCACAGGGCAGCAGGATGAAGTGATTAAATGAATAATGTTACATTCTCTGGGGAGAAACTGGGTTTTAAGAATTACAGTGCCTGGCATTTAAGTGTTTTAAAAGTAAAAATCCAAATACGATTTAAGTTGAATTAGGAACTGGTAGAAGAAGGAAATGGCTTGACTAATGTGTGGGTGAAGAGAGCCTCTGAGGGCCACAAGGTCTGTAATCACAGCTCCAAAGGCCGAGACAGGAGGATCAAGGTCAGCCTCGGCTAGGATAAATGTTTTTGGTTTTTTGTTTTGTTTTTAAAAAAAGAGGGAGCCTAGAAGTTCCCTGGCCAACGAGGGCTTCTGGTGAAAAACAGAAAAAGAAATGGCAGTGAAGACACAGGAGTGGCCCCTGGGCTCGTGTCTTAGATTTTTAAATTATTACAGGATAAAGGAGAAGCTAGGAAGCTAGACATGAGGTTCATGCCAGTAATCCAGCATTCAGGAGGCTGAAGCAGGACAGGCACCACCACCAGGACAGCCTGAGCCAGTAAGGGCCCTGTCTCAAAAGACACACAGTGAAGCAGCAGCAGCCACCTGTGTGGTGCTATAGAAGATCTGAAGTTCAAGGTCATCTTCTGATACGTAGAAAGTTCAAAGCTGCCGGGCGGTGGTGGTGCATGCCTTTAATCCTAGCACTCGGAGGCAGAGGCAGGCCGATCTTTGTGAGTTCAAGGCCAGCCTGGTCTACAGAGTAAGTTCCAGGAAAGGCGCAAAGCTACACAGAGAAACCCTGTCTCGAAAAACAACAACAACAACAACAAAAAAAAACAGAAAAAAGTTCAAAGCTAGCCCGAGCTACAAGAGACCCTGCCTCAAAAAATATATATATAGATATATCGATATAGATATATATAGAGAGAGAGCCAGGAAATAAATAGCTTCCACATTCTTTTCTTTTACGCCACAGCATACTAACAACATGGTCCTGTGTCCTGCACCATTGGGCTGCCCCATATGAGACTCTAAGGAATAGAGGGGACTACATACTTGGCAGGTGGTCCTTCCTGAAGCCAGTCCTTAGCTATGAATACAACCTAACACATTTGTAGAGGGCAAAGTCATGTCCAAATGTCAAAAGGTTAGCTAACCCCGCTAGATTCTGTCAGTCACCCCAAAGCTCCTCCCAAACCAGAGACAGAGAGAAAACAAGCCACGCCCCTTACCATGTTACTTCCTGATAAGGTTCAGTGTGGCTTTACACACAGTAAAATCATCAATCAAAATGTTGTCACAAAGCTATCTTTTAAAGCATGTATAAAATATACACTTGTACATACACACATTAGACTCTTACATCTCGAAGACAAATATTTAACAGTTCACTTAGGGCTTTTTTGGGTACTGTTGTATCTTCCAGTTTTGTGTCACTCTCTTGACTCTTCTTGACACTTGGCTATTCTGTCAGAAGATCTACTAAATAAAGTCAGTGCTCCTTTATCCCAGTAAGCAGAGTCTATCTGGGCTGTGCAGAGAGGTCTCTGGAAGGTCTGATCCATTCATTCAGGTGGGAGGGAAGAGGTGTGGCAAGCATCCCGGCCCCCAGGACAGCCCAGTGCCCAGCCATTAGAACACAGTCAAATCCCACAGTGCATCCAGCCAAAGGTCCTGAGGGTCCCCAAATCAAGTCACATTGGTTTTTAAAGAATGTACCATGTTTCAGGAGTCAATGGACAAGGGGCACTTTGAACAGTGGTGGTTTTTCATCTGTAGAAGAAGCCATTTGAACTCTTATAAAGAGAATTTTAAGGACTCCGCAGCCTTCCTGGAGAATTCAGGAAAACCAGTAAGAGGGACTGGTTTTCATCTTTTCATGAAGCTCTTCTCCAGAGCTACTGGTGTTCTCTGTAGAGAATGGATGTTGCGCTTTACCCGGTCCTCCAGGGAGGAAGTAGATGCGCTCTCCAGCTTCATGCGACTAGGGAAGAGAAGAGACAGGTGAATGGGAAAAAAGAACATTTTTTTCAACTGGTCTACTCTGGCAGAATCGGAAACACCAGGGTTGTCGTCAGAAAGCAACTGTAGACACACAAGTTTTTTTCAGCCCACATAGACGATTTTCAAATGACTCCGTCTGGAACCAAGGTTTTTAAATGTCCATACGGGAAAATTCATCTGTTTTTGGAAAACAAGTCATGTCTTATTGGAAAAAGGTTTTCTGAGCCATAAATTTTTACTTAAAAGGAAGGCCAAAGAATTTCAGTGATGTGGGAAAAGTACCAATGACTTCTACTTCAAATAAAAACTCCCACTGCCTGGCTAGAAACTGGGAGCAGCACCAAAGGGGGCTCCAAGCTAAGTCCCAAGGTCTCTGGAGAGAGGCGAGCAACACCACCAAGCCCCTGGCAGTGGGTCTGCTGCAGCATGGCCTCCTGGAGCCTGTGCAGGCGGAGCCCAGGCATGAACAAGTACTTACTGGATGAACTTGCCAGAGCGAGGGTCCAGCTGCTCCCGTCTGCGTTCCCGCTCGTCCTCCTTGGCATGCCTCTTGAGAGTGTTCAGCCTCTCCTCCTCCCTCCACCTGGCATTTGCCATCATCTCCTGGCGCTTCCGCTCTAGCTCCTCTGCTGAGAGTTTTCTGTAGAGCACAGAAACCATCCAATCGGTTCTACCCCTTCCCCAGCAAAACAAAACAAGGAGCAAAGCATGCAGGCAGGTCCACAGGCTTGCCAGCTCCTAGCTCTCCAGAGAAATAAGAGGAACGGTGCCACGTCCGGATGAGTTCCCTTCCTTTGGACACCTCAGTCCAGCGGTTCCCAAGAAATCATGAAGACTTTCGGTGAAGGATTTCATAATCACACTCAGTAATCTCTAGGATAATTCTTTTAAAACAACAGACTTAAGTGCTAACCAAGAACCTAACCTTACAGGAGTATGTTTTCACCACTGACAACTTACAGAGCAAATGAGGGCCATCCACGTGACTCTTGCTATCTCCTACTCCATAAGGGAGGCTTAAAAACTCATGGACTGGCCAGGCAGTGGTGGTGCATGCCTCTAATCCCAGCACTCAAGAGACAGGCGGATCTCTCTTGAGTTCGAGGCCAGCCTGGTCTACAGAGCAAGAGCCAGGACAGGCACCAAAACTACAGAGAAACCCTGTCTCGAAAAACCAACCAACCAACCAACCAACCAAACACCTCATGGTTTGAAAGAAAGAAAGAAAGAGAAAGAGAGAGAGAGAAAAGAAAGAAACAGCTCAGTGGTTGGGAGCACTGGCTGCTCTTCCAGAGGACCTGGGTTCAAGTCCCAGCACCCACACGGCAGCTCACAGATGTCTGTAACACCAACCAGTTCCAGGCTGTGACACCAGTTCCAGGGGATCTGACACCCTCACACAGACATACATGCAGGCAAAAAGCAAAACAAAAATAAAGAAAAAACAAAACCCCATGGATATGGGGATTGAGGAGATGTCTCAATGGGTAAGAGCACTTGCTGTGCAAGAATGAGGTCCTGAGTTCAAATCCATAGCACCAGTGTAAAATCTGGGCATACCCACATATGCCTGTAACCCTGGCATTAATTGGCAAAGATAGGCAAATCCCAGGAACTGGATGGCCATTTAGCCTAGCCAAATCATTGAGCCCCAACTTCAGAGAAAGACCTGGTTCAGTGAGTTAGAATGCTGTGGACTATTTGTTTGACTATGTAAGATGTGTTACATTTGTTTATGTTGCAGAATATTTGTTTAAGTAAAGATGTGTTACATTTGTTTAATTATATTGCTGTTTTACCTTGCCTGCCTAAGACACCTGATTGGTCTAATAAAAAGCTGAATGGCCAATATCAAGGGAGAAGGTACAAGTGAGACTTTGGGGCAGGGAGAGTAAGTAGGAGGAATTTAAGCTGGAAAAAAAGAAAGAAAAAGAGACGCCAGGGAAACGCCAGGGGCCAGTCAGCCAGACACAGAGGAAGCAAGAAAGTAGGACATACTGAATGAAAGAAAGGTAAAAAGCCTGAGGCAAAATGCAGAAACAGGTTAAATTCAGTTAAAAGAGCTAGGGGGACAGGCCTAAGCTAAGGCCAAGCATTCATAATTAATAATAAGTCTCCATGTCTTTATTTGGGGGCTGGTAGGTGGCCCAAAGAAAATTCCAATGACTGATGTCCTCTGACCTCCCCACGTGTGAGTAGGGGTGTACAGGAAACACACATTCATGGATACAACCCAAGAATATACCACTTTGGGATGAAGCTAGATGCCAGCAACCTGACTTAATGACCTAAATAATAGGTAGATCTTAGCCAGGCGGTGGTGGTGGTGGTGGTGGTGATGGTGGCGTACGCCTTTAATCCCAGCACTCGGGAGGCAGAGCCAGGCAGATCTCTGTGAGTTCGAAGCCAGCCTGGGCTACCAAGTGAGTTCCAGGAAAGGTGAAAAGCTACACAAAGAAACCCTGTCTCAAAAAACCAAAAAAAGGTAGGTCTTTTTCCCTGGCATTCATCCTAAATGAAGTTAGAACAAAAAAAAAAAGAAGTGATGAACAGATTAGTCACCACTTAACATCTAGTCAGACATCTAAATCTATTGCTTCTAAAATGGGTATGTTATAGTTTGTACATAGTTTGTGATATACAGATTTCTCTTTAAAGGGAATGACAGTTCAATTTTTTAAAAAATTGTTCATTTGGAGAAACAAATTAAAATAGGAAAACCTGACGTTTAATACGTTCCTGACTTACCTGGTGTATCCAGAAGCATGCCGCCTCTGGTAGACCTCCTTTTTAGGTGATGGACTATCTCTCTCTTTCCTGTTTACCTTAGAGGCATGCCTGTAATGAACACAGAGGGGACAAGCCTTTTATATGGGGATTATTAGTATATCCCTCAACCAATGGAGTTCCCTTAAAAGTATAATCCAGGCTGGGGCCAAAAAAATGGTTCAATGGCACTTGCCCCCAAGCCTGATAACCTGAGTTCAATCTCTGGGAATCCATATGGTGGAGGATAGAACCAACTCCCTCAAATTGTCCTCTGACCTCCACAAAGCATGCAGTTACACAAATGTAGACACACACACACAATCTTTTAAAGTGTAATTCAGGGCCTCAGGAGGCTCCGCAGTTAAGATTTCTTGCTAGGCCGGGCGGTGGTGGCGCACGCCTTTAATCCCAGCACTCGGGAGGCAGAGCCAGGCGGATCTCTGTGAGTTCGAGGCCAGCCTGGACTACCAAGTGAGTTCCAGGAAAGGCGCAAAGCTACACAGAGAAACCCTGTCTCGAAAAAACCAAAAAAAAAAAAAAAAGATTTCTTGCTAGATAAGTCTGAGGACCAGAGCTGAGATCCCAGCACCCACATAACAAGCCAGGCAGTTCTCTGCATGCCTGTATCCCCAGCACTGAGTCGGGAGAGACAGGAGAATCTCTGGCAATTGTGAGCTTCCAGCCTGGCCAAAAGAAAAAGAAGCCCCAGTTCAGGGAGAGACTGCCTTGATGGAATAGGGGAGAGTGGCAGGAGACATCCAACATCTCCACACAAGCACAGTACGTGCACCTACCCACACGTGTGCATACACTGCACACACACTACACTCACATACAGAAAAAGTAAAGCCCAAAGAGGAGGGGAGAGTCTGCCAGCACAATACGGTCCTCCAAATGTCATTGTTATGATCACATGTAATTATAGTGAGGTGGGGAAAGGAATGATGGAGAGGAGATAAAGCTGAGACATCTAAGACTGGAAATGACGAACATCACCCAAACCAAACACCTGCTGTGACCAGGCCCTTAGGGTCACAGATTACTTCCCAGTGAACTCCCACACTCACACTTTGCTGGGCCTTGGAGACCGAGACCTTCTGCCCGGGGATCGAGACCTCCTGTCCCGGGACCTCTCTTCCTTGGAGCTCTTCCTGCTGACATGTCTGGGGGGTGAGTGGGAGGAGCTTCTTGAGCGGGAATGGTTCTTCATCTCCCTTCGCTCAGCCATCAGAGAACCCTGGTCGGAGTCCCTCACCTGAGTCATTAAGGAAGACACGAGAAACCATTCATAGGAAAATCTTGCTGTTCAAACAGAAGTGTAGTACAGCAAGGGAAGAATGAACGATGAGATTCTTTAAATTTGCCAAGAGTAATCAAGCTGACTATACAGCTGCATGGGGGGGAGGCACACACCTGACTCCTAGTACTCAGAATGCTAAAGTAAGAGGATTGTAAGTTCAAGGACAGCTTGTATTATATTCTGAGACTCTGTCTTAAAGGAAGGAAAGGGGGAAAAAAAGAGCTGGGCATAATGGTACACATATACTATCCCTAGCAACTCAGGAGGCAAAGGCAGGAAAATCAAGTTTGAGACTAATTTAAACTAGATATGGAAATCCTATTCAGAAAAGCTAAGAGTTGCCTGTCATATTTATAATCCCAGCATTCAGGATGCAGAAGTCAGAATTTTTGAGATTCTGTCTTAAAAACAAAAGAACAAGAGCCCAGAGCTCACACCTTTAACCCCAGCACTTGGAAGAGAGGCAGGTGAGCTGTAGACCACCCAGGGCTACACAGTAAACCCTGTATGAAAAAACAGACCAAAACAGCCAGAAGTGTCAGGGTACTGTATTCCTAGCACCCAGGAGGCGGAAGCAGGAAATTCAAGACCAGAATTTCAAGGTCAGCCAGCCTTAGCGCCACAGTGAGATCCAGGTTAGCCTTCACATAATTCCTCAAAAATACAAAACAAAGCCTGGAGAGATAGCTCAGGAGTTAGGAGTACTTGCTGTTCTCCCAGAGGACCTGGGTTTGGTTCCTGGCATCTACCTAGTAGCTCACAACCATTTTTAACTTCAGATCCAGAGGATCCAATACCCTCTTCTGATTCCATGGGCACGAGGCACTCATCTGGCATGCACATATAAATGCAGGCAAAAATACGCATACACATAATATAAAAATATATAAATCTTAAAGAAAAAAAATACAAAAACAAGCCAGGTGTGGTGGCATATGGCTTTAATCCCAGCACTGGGAAGGCAGTGGCAGGAGGATGTCTGTGGGTGCAAGGACAGCCTGGTCTACTTAAGGAGTTCCAGGACAGCCAGGGATACACAGTGAGACTCTATCTCCAAATAAACAAACAAACGAATGAAGGAATGAATGTAAGAAATAAACCAAGGCTGAGGCTGTAGTTCACACACAAAGCACTTGCTGGGCATATGCAAGGCCTGGGTTCCATCCCAAGCACTTCACAAAAATTAAAATACAAAAGTGAGGATGGCCGTTGGTCAAAAGCCATTAAAATGTATACATTTCGTATCAATTACTTGCAGTTCTTGGAGGGATGATAAGTGCTCCAACTAGTGATTTCTCTACTTAGAGGACTCTCTGGAAGAGGCAAAAGGCTCAAGGATAAGGAGCAGGCTTAACCTCCAGCAGCCCCAGGCTCCACTCTCCAAACTCCCCTGCTCTCTGCAGGTGTCAAGGGTGACAAACTGCACATTCCCATAGTCACTCCCTTTGAAAAGCCCACATCTCTACCTGTAAGCCATATCCAGGGACTTTGGACAAAACAGGACAGGAATTTGCCATCTTCTTTTGAGATCTAAGAGATTAAAACATAGACACATTCACTGGAAAAGAAAAGGCACAGGAGTCCAGTTTGAATCTCTCCTGCTGAGAAGTGCAGCCTCTCCCAGTGCCCAGCTAGTACTGCCATTGCTTGGCAGCGCCTTTCTCTATTGGGACTGTCTTCGCTGGAAGACATCAGCACAGGCGAGTTTTTCCTGTGAAAAGCCGTGGGCAGAGCTCTCAGCCTCAGCGCCTGAACACATTCTCCTCTCACCTCGTGTTGCTATTCCGGGGACTAATCGTGAGTCAGCAGCAACAGAGCTGACTGTCCCTGCGGGAAGACGCGGAATGGGCCCACATGGTCCCATTAATCCATTTTTACAAAAAGAGGGAGAGAGACTACAGTAAACCCCTTCAGTCCCGAGGACTCCAGCTGAGTTGAAAGTGTCCCGTCAGGAGTTCTGACCTAAGATCTGGGAGGCGAAGGTCAGCCTATCCAAGAGTGCACCAGGAGACAGACTTAGCATCTCCAAAGAACTCTAACGTCAGAGGCCAGCTCTGCAGTACAGAGCGCACATCTGCACGGTCCCCACGGAACCCCCAGTGCCTGGTGCTCGGCTCCTCCCGTGGGATGGATGAGTGAGTGGGTAGGAAGTCTTGCTGAGGGAGGCTGGCGACACCTGCTCACCTGCCCTGGCCGTGCTCACTCTCACTGCTGGAGCGGTCACTGCTGGAGCTTCTGTGTTTATGTTTCTTGTGCTTCTTTTTCTTCTCCTTCTTTTTCTTCTTCTCCTTCTTTTCCAAACTCATTTGCAACTGAAATGTCCAGAACATAACCACAGGAGAGCTCTAAGACCCTGTTAGTACCTGGTGTAGGGAACGGCTCACATACAAAATGGCCCAGGATACTGTCAGGGCATCCATGTTGGGCACAAATGTACTCCAGACCCCCTAAAAAAACTCTCTGGTAAGCAAGCAAGGAATCCACATTTAAAAATTATGATTTTTTTTTTTTTTTTTTTTGGTTTTTCGAGACAGGGTTTCTCTGTGTAGTTTTGGTGCCTCTCCTGGATCTCGCTCTGTAGACCAGGCTGGCCTCGAACTCACAGAGATCTGCCTGGCTCTGCCTCCAGAGTGCTGGGATTAAAGGCGTGCGCCACCACCGCCCGGCTTAAAAATTATGATTTTGAGACCAAGTCTCATCATGTACGTCTGGCAGGCCTGTGACTCACTTATTAACAGCACGTGCCACCAAGCCTGACAACCTGAGTTCAATTTCCAGGACCGCTCACACGCCATGGCAAACATACCCATGCACATACACAAGGAAATGAAAAAAGAAAAAGAAAAAGAAACTGAAGACATGTAGCTCTTTCCCAACCGAAAGGAAATCAACCATAATTAAGCTGTTAAGATAAGCTAGCATAAAATCACCAGGAGATAGTATGTAAAAAAACAAAAATTGAGGCCGGGCAGTGGTGGCGCACGCCTTTAATCCCACCACTGGCAGAGTCAGGCGGATCTCTGTGAGTTCGAGGCCAGCCTGGTCTACAGAGCGAGATCCAGGAAAGGCACAAAGCTACACAGAGAAACCCTGTCTCGAAAAACCAAAAAAAAAAAAAAAAAAAATTGAGCCAGGTGGTGGAGGTGCATGTCTATAATCCCAGCACTCCAGAGGCAGAGGGAATCTTTGAGTTTGAAGCCAGCCTGGTCTACAGAGTGAGTTCTGGGATAGCCAGGGCTACACAGAGAAAACCTGGCTCAAAAAAACAAAAACAAAAACAAACAAACAAAAAATTTTAAGCCTCGTAATCATGCCATTCCGGTTGAGGAAGGAGGACTGGAGTTCCAGACTGGCCTGGACCACAAAGTAAGTCCTGTCTCAAGAACCCAGGAAGAAGTCATTTATAAAAGTCAGGCTACTTCCTAAAAGGAAATGGAAAGATGGCCTAGTGTTAAGAAGCCGACGGAGGGCTAGAGAGATGGGTCAGTACTTAAGAGCACTTACTGCTCTTCCAGAGGACCCAGATTCAATACCTAGGATCCACAGAACAATGCACAACCATCCATAACTCCAGTTCCAGGAGATCTGATGCCCATTTCCTGCCTCCTCAGATACCACAAATTCACACAATGCAGACACACGTGCAAACAAACACACCCCAACACCATCTTGGTGCATATTTGATGCATGACTTACCAACTCTTTGATTTTCTTCATTTTCACAGGATTGTTCAGGACCTCTCTTTTTTTCTCCTCCTCTTTCTTCCTAAATAGAAGGAACATTTTTAATGACTCTTTCTTTTGCAAAGAGAATTGTGTTATCCTCTGCAGCAAACGAGACAGGATAGTGTGGAGAAAATGATGTGGGGACAGCGCAGTGCATGACAGGGAGATCAATCTCGTGGCATTTGGCTTCACATCGAAGGCTTCCCTCATGGTTAAGGAATCCACCGGGTGTGGACCTGCAAATCCCCTGAGTGCAACATTTCAAAACAACCTCCACTGCTTAGCATAAAAACAGACCCATCATCTGAGCTATAAAGACAACAGAACGGCTCTTCTTTTGAGAAGTGAGTGTGTGAGTGTGTATGTATGTATACACAATGGTTCTTCTTTTGAGAAGTGTGTGTGTGTGTGTGTGTACACAATGGTTCTTCCTTTGAGAAGTGAGTGTGTGAGTGTGTATATGTGTATACACAATGGTTCTTCTTCTGAGAAGTGAGTGAGTATGTGTATGTATACACAATGGTTCTTTTGAGAAGTGAATGTGTGCATTTTCTTTTGAGAAGTGAGTGTGTGTGTATACACAATGGTTCTTCTTTTGAGGAGTGTGTGTGTGTGTGTGTGTGTGTGTGTGTGTGTGTGTGTGTACATTGGTGCTGGGAACTGGAGAGATGGCTCAGCAGTTAAGAGCACTGGCTGCTTTTCCAGAGGACCTGGGTTCCATTCCCAGGCCCCACATGGCAGCTCACAACTGTCTGTAACTCCAGTTCTCTTCTGGCCTCTGTAGGCACCAGGCATGCACACAGTACACAGATACACATGCCAGGAAAACACTCATACACAGGAAATAAAATTTTTAAATAAATAAATAAATAACAAGAACATCACAAAGTTTTCAAATTTTAACCATTTTGAAAATATATCATTTGGAAACAAGTTAGGGATATAACAAGCAAATATTAATGAAGAGTTGGTTGTGATAGTGCAGAACTCAGTACTCAGGAGGCTGAGGAGAGAAGATGCCAATTCAAGGCCAAGGCTACTGCCTCAATAAATCATAAAGCTGGGCATGCTAACACACATCAGAGGGTGAGGAATTCAGTCACACTCAGCTACAGGGCGGATTTGAGGCTGGCCTGGACAACGTAAGACCTTGTTTCAAATAAACAAGTAAGCAAAACCGGGTAGTAAGAGGGCTCAGTCAGGAAAGTGCTTGCCACACAAGCAGCAGGCCCTCAGATTCCACCTCCCCAAACCCACGGAAAAAGCTGAGAGAGCCAGGGGTGGCAGCATGTCTTTAATCCCAGCATCAGGAGACAGAGGTATGAGCTCAAGGTCAGCCTAGTCTAGATATCGAGCTCTAGGCCGACCAAGGTTACATACTAAAACCCTGTCTCAAAACCAGTAACTACAGTAAAGAAAGCTGAGCAGAGCAGCACACAGCCACAATCCTAGTGCTCTGGAGGCAGCAACAGGAAGATCCTGGGGCTTGCTGCCAGTGTAGATGAATCGGCAAGTTCCAGGTTTGGTGAGAGTCTATCTCACAAAGTAAGGCAGAGAGGGCTGTTGAAAGAGCCTGCCGCCCGGCCCAGCTGCTGAGGTCAAATCCCTAAGGCTCACAGGTGGAAGGAGAGAACCAACTCCCAAAAGTAGCCCTCTGACCCATACACACACACCCTGGGATGTATGCACATGTGCGCACACACATGCACACTCGGACACACACAAAGAAGGAAGAATGATTGAGAAAGGCATTAAATGTCAACTTACAGCCTCCACAAACCGGTAAGCACGCACATGCACATATATACACTAACACACACACATCTAAAAACAAACAAACAAAATTAAAAAGCAAGGAAGGAGGCGAAGGAAAAGGACTGAGAGTCACTTGCTGGCTATACGATTTCAGCGGGGACGGAAAGGGAGTGGGGGTTAAGGGACATTTACCTCGTAGTCAACTCTACACCAATTTCCCAGATTCCCAAGGAACAAGCAAGTGTCTGTCATCTTGCTTCTACCTCCTTTTTATTTTAATACGATTTTTATTGTCTTTCATTTGTGTGTGTGTACACACGTGAGTGTGAGGTACATAAGTACTGGTGCCCAGGGGTGCCAGAGGCTTTGGCTCTTCCTAGAGCTGCAGTTCCACACACATCTCTAAGCTACCCTATATGGGCACTGGGATCCCAACTCAGGTCCTCCTCGGCAGGAGCGATACATTCTCTTACCAGCAAAGGTATCCCCAGCCTTTTACCTCTCATTTTTATTTAAGGGTTAAAGATAGGTGGGTACAGTATCAGGACCTAATATCATGAATGTAATAAGTCAATACAATTAATGTAATTAATGAATATCATAAATATAGTTATTGAATGAAAAAAAAAAGATAGGTGGATAAATCTTGTCTGGCTTGGAACATTTGCCAATATCCTTTCATACAGCTACATCAGGGACCCTCACAGGAGCTCTTTCTCACTACCCAGAAGCAATAACGGATACAGGGGTGTGGAAAACAGGAGCAGCTATAAAGCAAAAGAAACAGCAGCCCTGGAAGAGTCCCCGGGTATCTCTGTAACAACCCTTCCCAAACCCCAGCCCTTCCCCAACCCCCAGCCCTTCCCAACCCCCAGCAGTACCTGATGATGAAGAGAGGGTCTTCCCGGATTTTGCTGGCCATGTCAAGAAGGGAATTGGCACCTGACGGGGCAAAGATAGAGCCTGGGAGGAGTCCTGTCTCAGAAGAACAGCCTGCCTCCTTCTCCTCCATCTTCTCAAAGACATACTTGTCAATGGGGCGACCCAGCAGGTACTCATCACGGTTCACCATCCCACCAGGTCCCTGGTACATCCAATCCAACTTTTCTTCTTTTTTCCTGGTTCAAGGGGAAAAAAAAGATATAGTTATAGATAGATCAGACAGACAGACAGACAGACACACACACACACACACACACACACACACACACACACACACACACACACACACAGAATGGAGAGTCCTGTCAAACTCCACACAGACCCTGAGCTGATCAGCATTGGACTGCCTCTGCAGATACCTACTGTAAACCAAACACCATTCTCAACTTGGCAGACATGAAGAAATGATTCTTATAAATGAATAGAGATCCTTTTCACAAAGACAATTAATGAGGAAAAAACAGAATCCTCCAGCTAAGGCATGGATCTCCACTTAGTTACCTAGTCTCCACTACCAAGTTTATACATTATCTCCTCATGTCAAAGATCATCTTAAACGATAAACATATTCTACCTCAGCACCCAGAACAACCTCATCAATCCCACACACAGCTGTATTCACTGCCTATCTTTGCACTTGACACAGCAGCCCCAGAGGTGCTACATACTTGAGAAGGAGAAATGACAGAGATACCTGTTAAGTAAATGATGCTTGCACTGGGAAAAAAAAAAGCCAGGCACTATTGGCACACACCTTTAATCCCAGCACTCGGGAGGCAGAGGCAGGGAGAACAGATAGATCTCTTAAGAGTTCGAGGCCAGCCTGGTCTACAGAGTGGTTCCAGGACAGCCAGGACTATTACACACACACACACACACACACACACACACACACACACACACACACACACACACAAAAGAAATAAAACCAAAAAAAAAAAAAAAAGGAAATGAAGCTTTAATACAAAAGAGGAGGACCAGCCAACCAGCTGGATGGTGGTGGCGCACGCCTTTAATGCCAGCACTCAGGAGGCAGAGGCAGGTGGATCTCTGAGTTCGAGGCCAGCCTGGGCTACGGAGTGAGTTCCAGGATAGGCTCCAAAAACTACACAGAGGAACCCTGTCTGGAAAAACCACACACACACACACACAAAAACAAAAAAAAAAGGGGGGGGGGACCAAATGTCACAACATCATACCTGACATCATTTCTTTCCTTGTGGGAAGATACAGAGGTGTGAGAATGGAACCTTTATGTGACAGACGGTAACAGGATGCTGAACCCTTTTTTTTAAATAATTTAATTTTATATGCATGAGTGTTTTGCTTGCATGTATATCTGTGCACTGAGTGTCTGGCACCCTCAGAGGCCAGAAGAGGGCAATGGATTCTCTGGATATTTTTAATGAAAATAATTAATTTAAGCCAATACAAACATGACCACTTATAACTTTTTTGTCTATTAAAGGGATCTGTTTGGAAAAGCCTTAGTCTGTAATTAAGAACTGACTGTGGTTGTTGAGTCAGACTGCAAACAGCTCGCCTGGCTTACCCACACTGCTAGTCAAGATGGAAGGTTACAGTGAATGCTGGGTTCTGGCAGACCAGGAGACTGGGAGGGAGGGTGGTCTTTACAATGGGGACCACAGACGGTGGCCTCCAGGTAATCACAGGCTTTCCTAATTCTCCTGTGCAGGTAAATAACAGACTAGGAGGGAGTCTGACAGCTGTGAAGACCAGGGCTCCCAGGGAAGAGCTGTTCCAGGCTGGCTGAGGATGACCTTAACTTCTTATCCACCTATTTCTACCTCCTGAATGCTAGGATTACAGCCCTCTGCCATTACACCCGGTTCATGCTGCACTAGGGATCAAGCCCAGGGCTTTGGGCATGCTAGGTAAGCACTCTACCAAATAAGCTCCGGGGTTTTAATTTACTTTAAAATTTTTATTTATCACCGGGTGGTGGTGGCGCATGCCTTTAATCCCAGCACTCGGGAGGCAGAGCCAAGTGGATCTCTGTGAGTTTGAGGCCAGTCTGGGCTACAGAGCGAGATCCAGGAAAGGCACCAAAACTACACAGAGAAACCCTGCCTTGAAAAAACCAAAATAAATAAATAAATAAATAAATAAATAAATAAATAAATGTATTTACCGTTAGTGTGTGTGTATAATAGAGAGGGTCATACACATTACAGAAAGGACAACCTTCAGGAATTGGTCTCTCTTTCCAGGGTCATCTGGCAAGTAGCCAAGGTTGGGTTTGAACTCCTAATCCTTTTGCCTCTTCCTCCAAGTGTGGAGGTTTCAGGCATGCACAATCATACCTAGTGGTTTCGTTTGTGACAAGATCTTTTTTTTTTTCCAGAGCTGAGGACCGAACCCAGGGCCTTACACTTGCTAGGCAAGTGCTCTACCACTGAGCTAAATCCCCAACCCAATCTTTTTTTTTTTTTTTTTTTAATGTGTATGTGTGAGTGACTTCTGTGTATATGTGCACCACATGCCTATCTGGTGACTGTGGAGGTCAGAACTGGAACAGGCAGTTGTGAGCTGTCTAATATGGGTGCTGGGAATGGAACTCGGGGTCTCTGCGAGAGCACTAAACGTCCTTAACCACTGAGCCATCTCTCCAGCCCTTAATTTTTTTTTTTTATTTATATGTAGGTATACAATGTGTATGAGGTGGAAGGCACAGGAACCCTCTGAACTGTGAGCAGTCATGTGGGTGCTGGGAACTGAACCTGGGTCCTCTGCAAGAGCAAAAGAGCAACGAGTGCTTTAACCTTGAGCCATCTCTCCAGCCCTCATTCCCTTGTGTTGTTCGCTTTTTTTTTCCCCAGGGTTTCCCTGTTATCTAGGCTGGCCTCAAACCAGAGGTGTTCTTACCTAGGCCTCCAGTTTGTTTTTGTTTGGTTGGCTGTTGTTTTTGGTTTTCAGACAAGGACTTCAAACCCACAGATCTCCTTGCCTCTTTTTTTTTTTTTTTTTTTTTTTTTTTTTTTTGGTTTTTCGAGACAGGGTTTCTCTGTGTAGCTTTGCGCCTTTCCTGGAACTCACTTGGTAGCCCAGGCTGGCCTCGAACTCACAGAGATCCTCCTGGCTCTGCCTCCCGAGTGCTGGGATTAAAGGCGTGCGCCACCACCGCCCGGCCTCCTTGCCTCTTAAAGTCCCTTTTACTCTACAGGAATTGGCTGAGGAAGGAACTGCCCCATCTTTATCTAGGGAATGCAAGGATCAAATGCCACTGTCTAGAACTGCAACCATGTAACACTATCAGCAAATACTAAAGAGATACTATGTTGCTCGGTGGTAGACTGTTTGCCTAGCATGTTTGAGGCCTTGGGTTTGATTCTCAGTTCCAGAAAGGGATTTGGAGATGGACAGCATTACATGTACGAGACATCGTCTTTGCTCCAAGAACAATGCCCGACAAAGACAGAAAAGATCACTTGAACCACAAGAGTGGAGTGAATCATTAAATCAATGGTGTTCAACTGGAGAAAGTCAAAGCATATAATTATACAAAGCATTCAGACCAGTCAAATGGACAAGTAAGTCAGCTACAAAAGCCATTGCGGGGAGGGGAATCCCTACCAGCTGCCATGAGGCACTACAGGTCCAGACTGCCTTTCTAGTCCTGAATATACTTTCTTCCCTCTCTCTCTTTTGTCTTTCCTTCTGGATGCTGGCCAGAACTAAGTATGCTTTCTCTAGCTCTTAGGGCTGCCTTACCTGAATTCCAAAAATCCCCTCCCCACCAGTGGCTGTGTATAGCCATGAAGCTGACCTCCATGCTGGCTTATCCCAAACAGTATGGCCTTTCCCCCCATTCTCTTCTCCATTCCCCACCTCCAGGCAACTGGGAAATTTATAGTTTGTCTGCCTTGGTTTTTAATAAATTGCCCTCAAAAAAAAAAAAATTGGCGGTTAAGGATTTAGCTCAGTGGTAGAGTGCTTGCCAAGGCCCTCCGTTCGGTCCTCAGCAGGGGGTGGGGGAGGTTGAGCATGGTGACAGATAACCTGCAATTCCAACACGCAGGAGGCTGATGCAGGGGACCAGCAGTCTGGGCTATAATGAGACCCTATCAGGACTTCTTAAAAAATTCAATTTGATGTATTTTTCCTGTATGTATGTGTACCACATGTGTGTAGTACCCAAAAAGGCCAGAAGAGGGTGGCAGATATTCTGGAACGGGAATTACAAGTTCTAAATTATAGATGGTTGTGAGCCAGTGTGTGTGCTGGGAATCAAACCTGGTCCTCTGCAAGTTCTCTTAACCAATGAACCATCTCACCAGCCCCAAAATAGGTAATTCTTAAAAAATTAAAAAATAAAAAAGAATTCATTTTCTTTTGTTTTGGTTTTATTTTTTTCAAGACAGGGTTTCTCTGTATAGCCTTGGCTGTCCTGGAACTCACTCTGTTTGTGCTGTTAAAACACTCTGACAAAAGCAACTTAAGGGACAGAGGGCTTATTCTGGCTCATGGTTCAAGATACAGCCCATCATGGCAGGGAAATCCAGGCAGCAGGAGCTAACTCAGCTGGGCACCCTGCATCCACAGGAGCTAACTCAGTTGTCACCCTGCATCCACAGGAGCTAACTCAGCTGGGCACTCTGCATCCACAGGAGCTAACTCAGCTGGGCACCCTGCATGCACAGGAGCTAACTCAGCTGGGCACCCTGCATCCACAGGAGCTAACTCAGCTGTCACCCTGCATCCACAGTCAAATGCTCAGTTTGCTGAGTCTCCTACAGCTCCAGATGGGCAGCACAGGAATAGTCCTGCCCACAGTCAAGATGAGTCTTCCCACATTAACTAACAGAATCAAGATAATCCCCACAGACATGCCCAGAGGCCCTTCTTCCAGGTGATCCTGGACTGTCAAGGTTCACAATTAACAGTTACCATCACCATTCCCTAAATACGTTGTATTTAATTTTAAAGTTCCAAAAAACCTCATTCACTGTAAAACATCAGAACCTCCCCAATCCATTTCCTGAAAGAATGGGATTTTCCCCTTATTTGCATGCCAAGGTGCTATGTCCACATACTGAAACTAAGTCTTACACACAACTGTGGATGTAACAAATCCCTCTGCCATGAAATTAAGGAAAACCCTTCAATATCCCATGGGGAAATGGGCCACATTTCACCCTGAAGGCTTGCCCATGACACATGAGCAGGGGAACAATAGAGAGGACTCGATTCAACCTGTCTGCACTTTCTGTCATTCTGATTTCGGAATGCACGGTACAGTGCATTTTATGCCTTTTATTTTCTTGAAATATACTCTCTTCTATTTCATGAGATAAGTAGGGTAATTATCTATTACTATTAGACTGAAAGTGACCAAAGGTAAAATTCAGCAAGACTGTCTACAGCCACAACGAGGCTTTTATTGACAGCCACCCTATCTACTTATTCCCATTAACCCCACTGCCCCCAAGAAGATGGGCTTGCAATACATTCACAGAGGCCTCAGGTAGCATAAAGACAATGATTCTTCATCACAGTCATGAGTATTTGTCAACTATCTAGAGGGAGCATGGTCTACACTAACTTGTTACATGTTATCACATCTGGTCCTCAACAACCCATACAGACTTGGGTATTATGACTTCCGGGATCCTACCGAGATACCCAAGGCTCCCACACCTTCTCTCTGGTACACAACTTAGGACACGCACAGCCAGTCTTAGAATCGAGTTGGTCAGGCTCCCAAATCCACACGCTGAATCACTGAACTCTTATGCAGCAGCCGGACTAGGCATGCAGCAAACACCCAGCTCCACACGCTGAATCACTGAACTGTTATGCAGCAGCCGGACTAGGCATGCAGCAAACACCCAGCTCCACACGCTGAATCACTGAACTCTTATGCAGCAGCCGGACTAGGCATGCAGCAAACACCCAGCTCCACACGCTGAATCACTGAACTCTTATGCAGCAGCTGGACTAGGCATGCAGCAAACAGCCAGCTCCTCTCTTACTTGACGGCCCCGACATCCTCGGCATAGCGCTGCATCTCTTCCCGAGCTCTCTCCTCTCGCAGCTCTCGCTGCAGCTCCTCAATCTTTTTCCGCTCGGCCTCATGTTTCTGCTCTGCCTTCCACACTTTCTCCACATTTCGAAGGGTCTGTGGGTGCCAGCTCTTCTTCAGGTTCTGTGAGTGAAAGGAAGGAGGGAAGGATTCAGAGAGTGGGAGGTGGAAGGTGATGAGGGTCTTCCCACAAAGACTAATTCAGATAATTAATCCCCAACAGACATACCCACAGTCCAACCCAACGTAGATAACTGTCACTGAGATTCTCTTTCCAGGTGATTCTAGATTACGCCAAGTAGTTCCCGACTACTTGACATCACTCCCGACTCACCCACCCTTGCCATACCCAGTACATGCAGGCATGTAAAGGCAAGAGAGCACGTGGGGAATGTAGATCAGGGAAGAGTGCTTTCCCAGCATGCATGAAGTGGTGGGAAACGCCTTCACAGTTTGAGGGTGGAACAGGCCTTTTCTGAGCTTCCTCCAAACACTTACAACCTTAGACTCCACTAGCCATGCCTACAATGGAGTTGATAACAGCAAGATAGGAGAAATAGGGCAAGGAGGAAGAGATCTATTCTGAAAGGCAACCTGGTTCACTGGGACAGTACATTCATTCTTATGCAAACCTCTCTCTCTCTCTCTCTCTCTCTCTCTCTCTCTCTCACTCACTCACTCTCTCTCTTTCTTTCCTTTTGATTTTTGAGACAGGGTTTCTTTGCGTAGCCCTGGCTGTACTGCAACTAGCTCTGTAGACCAGGCTGGCCTCGAACTCAGAGATCTGCCTGCCTTTGCCTCCCGGAAGGCTGCACCACCACAGATGGCCAGTTCAAACATCTTTTTTGTTATTGAGTCCTCTTAACTCTCCTGTGCCTAAACTCGCATGCTTACAATGTATCTAGACCTTTTTCAACCTTCCTTCCCAGGAACTGTCCCTGTCTCTTCCCTTCAATGAATGTTTCTCCTCTCTCCTCTCTTTACTTCGCTTCGAGCTGTAATCGCAGGAAGTTTCCCTGGGGAAGTAGCATCTAAGGATGGTTATAAAATAGCTGGTGACAGCCGGGCGGTGGTGGCGCACGCCTTTAATCCCAGCACTCGGGAGGCAGAGCCAGGCGGATCTCTGTGAGTTCGAGGCCAGCCTGGTCTCCAAAGCGAGTTCCAGGAAAGGCGCAAAGCTACACAGAGAAACCCTGTCTCGAAAAACCAAAAAAAAAAAATAGCTGGTGACATGGGAAGCTCTGTAAGAGAAAATGGCACTCACAACCACAGTCCCAGCGATGAGGAAAAACATAGCATAAATAATTCACTGTGGCTGGAGGCAGAGTGCACGCTAATGGAGGAGGTGTGTGGGATATAGCCAGCTGAGAAGCCAGCAGACCAGATCTTTTATAGACATGTGAAGGAACTGAACTGCACCCTGTTGATGGCGGGAAGTAAAACCTGAAAAGATGCAGGCAAAAGCATGTCCAGCTATCATGTGAAGAATGGATGTGAGAGGTGCAAATCTGGAGACCAGTTTAAGACTAAAGGAGATAAGATACACAAGGTACCTTGCAGGTGCAAAGCACACAGTCAGCAAGAACGCAGGTATGTGTGAGCACGGACACGTCTGTGCAGGCCGGGGCTATCGAGCTATCGAGCTCAGGCTACCCTCAAACTTGAGCTCCCTGACTCTACCTCCCAACACTGGAACTAAAGGCATGTACCATCTGCTTTCTTTCTTTACCTTTTCTTAACTGCCTTTCCTCCTTTACCAGGTCGTTTCATCCTTCCTTCCTACATTCTTTCCTTTGAGAAGGACTTCCTTCAACACACCATCACCACCACTACCACCACTACCACCACCACCACCACCAACCCACCCTTACTTTGTCCTACATAGGTCCTCCTTTCCATCCCAGGGCACAGATGGCAATTAATGTCTGGGGAAAATTGTAGATGTCATAACTAAGGGAGAGTCGAGTGCTAATGGCATCTTTGTGGCTAGAGGCTGCTGAATAGACAATTTGCAGGACAGCCCCCGCCATCATACACACAAAGATCTGGATTTCTAATTGATGTAGGAGGGCCCAGCACACTGTGGCTGGTACCACCCCTGCGTAGGTGGGCCAGACCATATAAGAAAGGTAGCTGAGTAAGCCAAGAGAAGCAAGCCAGTGAACAGCACTCCTCCATGGTTTCTGCCTCCAGGTTCCTACTTGAGCCCCTCCCTGGCTTCCCTTAATGATGGACTCTAACCTGTAAGATGTAATAAGCCCTCTCCTCCGAAAGTTGCTCTTGGTCCTGGTTTGATCACAGCAACAGAGAAACAAAGTAATGCACTGTCCATAAACAGTTATGTGAAGAACATACTAAACTAGACCAACTTTGCCGGGCAAGGATGGCTCACACCTTTAATCCTAGCACTCGGGAGGCGAGGCAGAGCCAGGCCGATCTCTGTGAGTTCGAGGCCAGCCTGGTCTACAGAGCGAGATCCAGGACAGGCACCAAAACTACACAGAGAAACCCTGTCTCGAAAAACAAACAAACAAAAATCTAGACCAACTTTGATGGAGTCCTAGAACTTGATCAAATTAAGAATACCTGACAAACTCAGTCTAATGGATAGATATCTAAACTAATATATTTATCGATTCAATTAGCTTCACTGTGAGAAGATCAATAGTTTTCTAATTTAGCTCTGTGCTTCGTGGATACTTCCACCTTATTTAAGGCATTAGTTCCCCACAAATGAACTACACGACTTCAGAGCAATTGCCGCTTAGCCTAAAAAAACTGTTATGAATACAGAAGACGCTACTTTGTCACTAAAAGCACAGCACTGATATAGAGAATGAAACAATGATGGACAAGATTTAAAATGGACTCTTCCAAAGAATCGAGGGGGACTGGGGCCCACACTTGGACAGTCCAGGTCCAGGATACAACTGTAAACTCCTAGCTAAGAAAAGGAACTATGTCCCAAGATAACATACACAAAATAAAGTCTGTGTGCCAAGATCTGCCTCCTTCCGTACCATGAGTCCAACTGTCCCGCTTCGTGACCGCAGACTTCCCAGCCGGGAGCCCCCGACCCCTTCCAATCACCAAACACAGACACCAGCAGACATCACTCGCCGCACATCTTCCCAAGTCTCATCCCAGTCCCTCCGTGGTCTTAACCATCCTTTCTCTCTCGGAGTTTACCAACCCCTTGTGTTGAAAACAAGACTTCATTACCAGGGTTACCCACTGCTACCCCCGACTTCCACCGCACCCCTGCCCGTTTCCGTCCCCGGCGCCAGTGGGTCTCGGGCCTCAATCCTAACTGCCCAGGCCTCCGGGCACTTACCAGGTCTCCGCCTCCCATGACGGTGGAGACGTTTCCTCAGTCCGTGGACCTGAAAGATTCAGCGGAGATGGAGAGGAAACGGCCTCAGGCCTCAGTTCTGAGACCCGCCTCACAGGACCTGATCCCTAAAGGAACCAGCTGCCCCTTTCCCCGCCCGCTCTCGATCGCACTTCCGGGAGTGGCGTCATATCGCTGCGTCGGCGGCTTGGAGCGATGACGTTGGCACGAGTCCTAAGTCTGCGAGACTCTAGAATCGTGTGTAGTTTCTGCCTACTCTCCGGGTTTAGATTGTCTCACTTTGGGTTCGCCTCACGTAACCACCCCTGTCCAAGGTCCCCAACTGTTGAAAAGCCACGGAAAAGGTTCTGTTGCCTTGGCAACGCATCAGGGCCCTCTGCAAGACGTCAGCATCCGCCAACCTAGGCCGCCTTCCTCGGGCACCGCCAAACCAGGATTTCCAATCTAGCTTTCAAAATTGGACTTTCGGCCAACTCTTTCACTCTCGGCTTGTTTTATAGAAATAGATACCGTCAAACGAAATTCCAAAAGTCAGATGTGGTGGCACACTCCCATCATCTCCGCGCTTCGAGATGGAGACTGGAAGATCAAGAGTTCAAGGCCAGAGTTGGCACAAAGTTTGAGGTTATCCTGGTCTGGAAGAACCTGTTTCAAAAAAAGAAAAAACTGCCTGGGCGTGATGATGTATGCCTTTAATCCCAGGCAGAAGCAGGCGGATCTCTGGGAGCTCAAGGCTAGCCTGGTCTACAAAGTGAGTTCCAGGACGGCCAGGACTACATAGAGAAATCCTATCTTGAAAAAAGAAAGACGGGCAGGCGGTGGTGGCGCACACCTTTAATCCCAGCACTCGGGAGCAGAGCCACGCAGATCTCTGTGAGTTCGAGGCCACCCTGGTCTACAGAGCGAGATCTAGGACAGGCACCAAAACCACACAGAGAAACCCTGTCTGGAAAAAAGAGAAAAAGAGAGAGAGAGGGAGGAGGACAGAGACAGAGAGGGAGAGAAAGAGAGAAAAGAAAGATATGTCCTCGGCCAAGTTCAGAAAGTTTAGCATCTGCCTACTTGCTTCTGTCTTACAGTCTTTTATTAATTAAATAATCAATTAATTTTTATTTGGGTCTCTCTCTATGTAAAACCATGGCTGTCCCCTTCAATGTAGACCAGACTGGCTTTGAACTCAAAAAGATCCACACCCATCTGCCGCTAGAGTGCTGGGATTAAAGACGTGTATCTTGTGTTTTATTTTGAGTTGTTAAAATTAAAGGACTAGAGAGGTGGCCCAGCAGTTAAGAACACTGGCTGCTCTTTCAGAGGACTCTGGTTCACTTCCCATCACCCACATGGTGGCCCATTACCATCTCTAATCCCAGTTCTATCAGATCCCAAACCCTCTTTGGGCCTCCCCGACCACCAGGCACACAAGTGATGTACAGACATACATTCAGAGCACCCATCTACACAAAATTAATTATTTTTAATTTTAACTAGCTGGTTGTGATAGATAAATAAAAAGAGTTTAGCTGGATGTGGTGGTGCATGCCTTTAATCCCTACACTCTGGTTGCAGAGGCAGGCAGATTTCTATGAGTTCAAGGCCAGCCTGGACTACATAGCAAGCAACTCTACATCATGAGACTGTATCTTGCAAAAAATTTTAAGAGACTGGAGAAATGACTCAAGAGCCCTGGCTGCTCTACCTAGAGGACCCAGGTTCAATTCCCACCACCCACAACTGCCTAACTCCAGTTCCAGGGGTCTCACAACCTTACACACATGAAAAAAAAAAAAAAAAAAAGTAGTTACCTGTTCAGGAGGGAAAAAATTAAGGCTTCTTTTTAGAAATGCCTAGAAAAGACTGGAGGGATGACTCAACCAGCTCATGGCTTCCCGTAACTCCAATTTCAGAGGATCCAGCACCCTCTTCTTGCCTTCTTGCCTCCACAGGCATCTGCACACACCACACACACACACACACACACACACACACACACACACACACACACACACACTTTTTTTAAAATGGTGGTGGTGTTGCATGCTTTTAATCTCAACACTTCGGGGGCAGTTGAATCTCTATAAATTTGAGACCAGCCTGGTCTACATAGCAAATTGCAGGATAGCCAGGGCTACAAAGGAAGGAAGGAAGGAAGGAAGGAAGAGAGATATCTACCAATCGTCTTCCTTTCTTTTCAGGGTCCAGTCTTGAACCAGGGCCTCCCACGTGGTTAGCCAGTGCTCTACCACTGAGCTATAGCCCCTGAGGACTTTGTGTTAAAGTGGAGGACTTTGTTTTATTGGTCCCTTGGAAAGTGAGAGGAACATGAATTTCAGAACAAGAGTGGCTTGAAAGTTCTTGTCCATAGCGCAGGCAGGCTCATAGCCTCATTCCTAGTCCAGAAGACCAGGTTAAATGTTCCTTGTTATTTTTAGTGCCTGGGTTATGGAAATAAAAGAACTAGGAAGGAAGGGGGCACCCGGATTTGAACCAGGGACCTCTTGATCTGCAGTCAAATGCTCTACCCCTGAGCTATACCCCCTCACCTTACCATTGTCCTCTTCCTTGTCCACTTATGGTGACTCACTGTGAACTGGTTCCACCCACACTAATGCCCTGGGGAGCTTTGTGTTCTCAAGCCTCGCCTTCTCTGTGTACATCTTCTGCTTTGGCTTTTCTCGGCCACCAAGGAGCAGGGTGGGACCATAAAACAATGACAACGGGTTGGAAAGGAAATGGACATCATGAGCAGAAAATCCTCTGATTTGGGCTAATAAGCACCCGATGTCATCTTGCTCCCCCTGCCCCCTAATGAATTACGTGTAGGAAGGAGATGGATGATGTCAGGTTTTTTATTTTTGTTTTTTTAGGACTAAGAATTGAATTTAAGGCCTCAACCATGCTAACTAAACTCTCTACTACACACTCTCACCATCTAGCTATACTCCTGTCCCTGGAGTTTTTTTTTTTTTTTTTTTTTTTCTTTAGACAAAGTCTGCATCCTTCTGCCTCAGTCTCTCAGCTAGCTGGGATTATAGACCAAACTCCCAGGCCCACTTAAAATGTCAGGATTGTGTTTTGTTTTTCAGAGGGGATGGAAATAGTCAGGAAAATCATATTCATTATTTTTGAGACTTGATGCAGGGTCTCTCTATAGTCCTTGCTGACTTGGAACCCATCATGTCACCAGGCTGACTTTGTACTTGTACAGATCGTCCCATTTCCAGCTCCTAAATACTGGGATTACAAGTGTGTGTCACTGCACCTAGCTAGGACCCCAGTGCCTATTCCTCCTGTATTTTTGCCTTTGTTTATTTGCGTTTGTTTTCTTTTTGTCTCTTTTAAATGACATTTTAATTGTGTTTGAGCGTATGTATGCATATGGGCATATACATGCCACAGAGCGCATGTGGCAGTCAGAGGACAGTTTGTGGCAATCAGTATGCTTTTTCTACCTTGTGGATGCTGGGGATCTAACTCAGGTTGTCACACCCAGCTCCCTTCCTTGTTCTTGATGGGAACAGTGGCCAGCTTACTGGTACCTGGAGAAGTTTTGTTGAGGGCCAAGCTTGTAGTACCTAGTGCTAGCTAGAGAGGTAGCTCAGTGGCAGAGCCCTGGTGTTCCCATGCACTAGACCACGGGTTTAATCCCTGGCCCTGCCAAGGGAGGACAGACAAATACAGCCCCATCTCACCACCCCAGCCTAGAAGGAAACAGAGGCTCCCTTGATTTATCAATCAATCTTCTCCCTTCCAAAGGTGAAGCTGAGTGTACAGAAACCAACGTGTTCCCTCCTCCCACCCCAGAGAAGAAAGAGCACACCTGGACACACAAATCTAACTTTTGTTTTTGTTTCCGTTTTCGTTTTTACAAATGTAACTTTTAAAAATATAGAATAGCATCGACAGTTCATCTAAAGGTCCGCTTGGAGATTCATGTCAAGGCCTGTGAAGCAATGTCTTCAGAAAATAGGGAATGGGGTGACTTCTCCGAACACTGATGGGCGCTGACGGAGGGCTGGAGTGTTCCGGCGGTAGCCAAATCGACCGTTCAAGCCCGTAATTATCTTCTTCGGATTGGCATTGTAGTAATCATGTCCACTGACCTGCTGGAGGGAATGCCCTTGGGAAAGAGGAGAGTGGCTGAGCCTGCAGACAGTATCCTCTTGCCTTCCCAACTTAAGCCCAGTGAGTCACAGCACCCCTACCCCCACAGCTGGATGCTTCCTCCTCAGAGGCCCTGGGCCCCTTGAAAGAAACCAACAACATGAGGCCCCAGAAACAGAGATGTCCTAGAAATAAACCCTGCCCCAGGTGAGTTTACAAGAGGGCTGTGACTGGTATGTGCTGGGTCCGGACTTGGCTCCCAGAAGATGTGAGGATGTCAACCCTTGCCTCTCTCCCATCTGGAGAAAATAGATAAGATCAATTCGATCATGTGATGCAAAAAACTTCACGGTAATCTTGTGCCCAAAGGTGGAGTTGGATGGGAAGAAGGTTGTCCCCGTCAGAAAAAGTGAATCTTCCTTTTCCCACGGCTGCTAAACTGATCATGCTCAGGGAAGCAGAGTGTGTGTGTGGGTGGGTGACACACAGGCAGGAACGCGCGCGTGCGCACACACACACACACACACACACACACACACACACACACACACAGAACAACAGGCTCTAGACTGGATGGGGGAAACTGCAGCTCCATCTCAGCCCTTCCTTGCAGACCAGTTTAAAATCATGCACGGCACAATGAATTGTACCATGGGATAAAATGAGGCTGAGGGGTACCTGACATATGGTAGGTGTTCAAGAACTGAATATTAGGTGCCCCAAACACTATTTGCTCTGTTTGGGAAGAAAAGCCGGGAGGATAAGTCCTTGACCCTCTCTTCCCAGCCAGGCCTCTCTGGAGCCCTGCCTCTCTAAGCTCTGGGGTACACACTGTTTTTCCATGGTGGGATCACATGAGGATCGACAGTGAGATGGCACTTGCCTGCCCCTGCCCAGTTTCTCCTGTTCAGATATCTCTGTCCTTGACCAAAAATGTGGTAATAATCCACTATCCAGCCATCCCTTCCTGTACCTCCATGATCCTGAAAATGAAGGAGAGAAGGCTGTCAGTTGGGGTGCCTCGGAGAGTGGGGTGCAAACTTCCTGGGGCTGCTTTGGGGAAGAGGAAGAAGTAGAGCCAGAAGAAACTGGGGGGCAGATTAAATACACTAATGACCTGCAGAGGCAGTGTGGCTGGTGGGGTTCTGTGGCTGGACAGTGTGGATCCTGATCCGAGCTCTGTTACTGGCAAGCTATGTGACTAGGGGCCAATTACAGAGCTTCTCGGCCCTCACGTTTCCTCATTAGCAACCAACTGGAAAGCTGCCATGAGATGTCCATGACTTAGTTCAGATAAAAGGCCTGCCATAGTAAAGGCTAAATACACATTTTGTTACTGTTTTGTTACATGTTGTTGGTTATTTTTCTCAAGACAAGAGGCTCACATAGCTCAGGGGAAGCCTTAAACCTGTTTAGCTGAGGTTGACCTTGACTTCCTGACCCTCCTGTCTTCACCCTAACCTCTCCCAAGTACACGTGCTACTCATCCAGCTCAAATATCTTGTTTCTCACTCCCCCCCACCCAGAGAGGGTTTCTCTGTCACTTTTGAACCTGTTCCAGAACTCGCTCTGTAGACCAGGCTGGTCTTGAACTCAGAGAGACCCCTCCCTGCCTCTGCCTCCCGAGTGCTGGGATTAAAAATGTGTGCCACCATCACCTGACTTTCTTTATTAAAATAAAAATACCCAGCACAGATGTAATTTTGATGATAAACAATAACAAGACAAAACCAGAGCTTGGCATGGGCATGCTGTAACTTGGCAGCTCTTGGGAAGTTTCAAGTCTGAAGCCAGGCTTGACTACACAGTGAGTTCCAGGCCAGCCTGGGCTACTAAGTGTGAGACCATCACAAGAAACAAACCAACCAAAAAAGGAAACACTTTAAAAGCTTGAGTATGGTAGCACATGCTTACACTCTGACGCTTAGGAGGAAACAGGAGGAACCCAAGTTTGAAGGCGACCTGAGCTGGAGAATGAGTTAAAGATGAAGCTCTGCCTCAGAAGAAAGGCGGGGAGATTGGAGCCAGAACTGGAGAGATGACTCAGTGGTTAAGAGTTCTGGAAGCGCCTCTAGAACACCCAGTTCAATTCCCAGTACCCACATGAAGGCTCACAACTGTCTGTAACTCCAGTGCAGGGGATCTGACACCCTCTTCTTTCCTCCAAGAGCACCAGGCACACAAGTGATGTACAGACATATGTGTGGGCAAAACTTGTGTGTGTGTGTGTTTGTGTGTGTGAATATGTATGTGTGAAACTGGACTTAGTGGCACATCTTTAATCCTAGCAGTTGGGAGGCAGAGACCAGTGGATCTCTGTGAGTTCCAAGCCAGCCTGGTCTACATAGCCAATTTCAGGCCAGCCAGGGTCACATAGTGAGACCCTATCTCAAAAAAAACAAAACAAAAAAAAAAAAAAACAAAGTAAGCTGGAAAGTGGTGGTGCACACCTATAATTTCAGCACTTGGGAGGCAGAGGCAGGTGGATCTTTGAATCTGAGTCCAGCTTGGTTTATAGAGCAAGTTCTAGGACAGGTAGGGCTACACAGAGAAACCCTATCTTGAAAAACCAAAATAAATAAATAAGTAAAAAAAATAAATAAATACATAAATCAGGTCAAGTGACTTGGGCCTGTAGTCCTAGCACTCAGGAAGCAGAGGGAAAAGGATTTCAAGTTGGAGACCAGCCTGGGCTACACAGCCAGACTGTGGCTCCAAAACAAAGAAACAAAAAAATAAAAATACTGACATTCTGGGGCTGGAGAGATGGCTCAGAGGTTAAGAGCACAGGCTGCTCTTCCAGAGGTCCTGAGTTCAATTCCCAGCAACCACATGGTGGCTCACAACCATCTGTAATGAGATCTGCTGCCCTCTTCTGTCATGCAGGCATACATGCAGAACACTGTATATATAATAAATAAATAAATCTTAAAAAAAAAAAAAAACTGGCATTCTTAGACACATATACCTCTGGCTCTTGTTATAAAAGTGCAACCTGGTCGGTCCTTTTTGCCTTCCTACCACTGAAATCAACAGATACTTAAGGTAAAAGTGTTGGGAGGCATGACAGGTGATGTGGGACTGTAGTCCTGCATGCCCAGCCACTGGTTTTATTTTGTATGGGGGTGGTGAATAGGATACATTCCACCCAGGACCTCATACATGTGAGGCAAGTATTGTACTCCTAAACTACATCCTCAACCCCACTCCCAGTTACTGGAAGGAAGATCATTGTGCTTAAGACTTCAAGGACAGCCCAGGAGACAGAGAGACTATATAACCTAAATAAACAAAAAACAAACAAAAAAAAGAAAGAAAGAAAATTAGGTGTTGGGAGAAAACGGCACTGCCAGTTAACAGCCTAAAGATCTACAGTCCTGGGCAAGTACTACTGCAGAGGGATGTCTGCAGAAGTGGGGCTCCCTTCCCTTGGGCTCACAGGTGTCCCGAGCCATCCTTAACCCTGCGACTGTGACAGCATAGGACCGAGTTGCCAGGTCCAGACAATCCCCTTGGTGTGGTTCACCGAGCTCTATGGGAGTTTCTTCAGGTTTTGAGGACCTGCAGTAAGGTCACGCTAAAAGCGCCCCCCACCTCCAGTGATGTCACAAAGACAAGGAAACCTATTTGTCGGGAGAGGCCGGCTCTCCGCCCTAGTCTCCCTCCTGCAAAAGCAAGAAATGAGACTGTAGATGGGGTTCTGAGTGGAAAGGACCTCGTGAGCTCAGCACCTCCACTCCTCAGTCACCGCACTCCTCCACTCCCCAATTCACCAACACAGCCGCAGGGTGCTGGCCTCTGTGGTGCCCAGCCCTCTGCAGGGCGAGGCCCAGAATTAGGGAGGGCAAGACCTCAAAGTCCTGGGCCACCAAAGTCAAGCACCAAGGGCTGGCTGCCAGAATCTCGGGGTCCTCCGGGATACTCCCAAACCTACCTGATCAGTTTTCCGCAAAATGGGCGGAACCACGTGGCTTCGGAAGTACCGACGACTGTGGTAGTCAAGTTGTGGATTGTAAGGTGGAATTGCGGACCACAGCTTGGGCCTCGTGAGGCCGTAGGCCTGAGCCATTGTGCTCACGGCCACCCCATCCAAAACAAAGCTCTTTTCGAGTCGCAGAGGACACACACAGCAGTGAGGCATCCCAGCCCCCACAGCCTCTGAAGGCTTTCTGGTGAAGAGCACAGTTGGGGACTTCAAGGAGCATTGTTACATTGTTACGTAGGTCAAGTTTCTCCCGAGACACAAACCTTATTGTTCTACATTTCAGGTTCACCACGCCCATCTTATTGTGGTGTTGGGATTTAACCCAGGGCTTCAAGCGCATGCGTACTAAATAAGCACTCTATCAAACTATACTACATGCCCAGTTTTCTGCGCTCACACTTTATATACAAAAACTTGTTTTTTGTTTGTTTGTTTTGTTTTGTTGGTTTTTTTCGAGACAGGGTTTCTCTGGTGTTTTGGTGCCTGTCCTGGATCTTGCTCTGTAGACCAGGCTGGCCTCGAACTCAGAGATCCGCCTGGCTCTGCCTCCCAAGTGCCGGGATTAAAGGCGTGCAGTCATCACTGCCCGGCATAGATAAATGTTTTAACATTTCTTATGCATATGAGTTTAGGTGCGCCTGACCGGGAGCTAAGAGTGGTAACCGACCAGGCGGTGGTGGCACGCGCCTTTAATCCCAACTCTAGGGAGGCAGAGGCAGTGGCAGGTGCATCTCTGTGAGTTCAAGACCAGCCTTGTCTATGAAGAGGTTCCAGGCCAGCCAGGGCTACAGAGAAACCCTGTCTCAAAAAACCAAACCAAACCAAAAACAGGTAACGGAACTTAGTCCCCCTGCAAAGCAGTGTGGTTTTAACATCCCCAGCCCCTGCTCCTAGGCTTTATTAGATTCAGTTTCTTGGCTGAGTTCTGCTGCAAAGCTGGCATCTAGATTTATAATTCAGCGAATTTTAGACCCCTCCTCGCCTTCAGTGTAAGCAGCTAAGGGTTTAGAAGGATTTCCCTAAACCACGGTTGGTGGGGCTCACTTGTAATCCTAGCATTTGGAAGGTATTCAAGGCCAACCTCAACTACAGATTGAGGTCAGCCTGGGTAGGTACTGCCGATTGTCCCCTTCCCTAACCCCAATTCACCAAAAACCAGAATTCATTTTTCCCAACCCTCTGTTCAGGACCCTCAGAGTCGTTCCTTTCATCCCACTTTTCTAATTCTTAGATAGCCCAGGCTAGCCTAATTTTTTGATAGCCCCTAAGTACTAGGATTACAAGTATGTGCCACCTGGAACCAATTCTTGTCTTCCAGACAGAAAGAAAAAAGTGACTCTTTGCTCATGCTTCCATTTCCCCAGTTCACCACCCACAACAGTAACAAAACCCTAATACAAACGCTTTATGTACCAAAGCACCCCCACATACATGTGCCTTTGCTCATCACTCCAACCCTGTATGGCATTTGGGGTGAAGCAGGTTGGCAATACTTTTGGGTATTCCTGGGGATTGAAACTGTGTTCTCAGCCAGGCAAGCCCTCTACTACTGGATACTTTCAGCCTTTCACTTTGCTAAATTACCCAGGATGGCCTCAAAACGTACTTTTGCCTCTCCTGGATTACAGACACAAAACACAGCTAAGGCTTTCTGTTCACTGCTGTATAAATGCCTGATCTTCCAACATTCAAGAAAAAGGTTTGCCAGGTGTAGGCATGTAGACCTAGTGCCAGCACCAGTGAGGTAGTGGATGGAATATAGCTTCTAGTTGGGGCTGGAGAGGTGGCTCAGCGTTTAAGAGTACTGCCTCCCCTTCCAGAGGACCTGGGTTCAGTTCCCAGCAACCACACAGGAACAAACATAATCTGTAACTCAAATTCTAGAGATTCTGACTACCTGAGGGCACTGTACAGATGGTGCAAATATACAATCCAGCACCAATAGACCTAAAGAAAAGCAGGAGAATCACTTATGAGTTTGAGGCATTCCAAGTAAGGATACACCTACCAAAATTTTGCCTCAAATTTTTTTTTTTATTTTTTTTTTTTTTTTTTGGTTTTTCGAGACAGGGTTTCTCTGTGTAGCTTTGTGCCTTTTCCTGGAACTCACTTGGTAGCCCAGGCTGGCCTCGAACTCACAGAGATCCGCCTGGCTCTGCCTCCCGAGTGCTGGGATTAAAGGCGTGCGCCACCACTGCCCGGCCCTCAAATTTATTTTTTTTGAGCCAGGTGGCAGCCTTTAATCCCAGCACTTGGGAGGCACGAGCAGGAGGATCTCAGTGAGCTTAAAGCTAACCTAGTCTACAAAGTGAGTTCTGGGATATCCTGGACTGTTAAACCCTGCCTTGAAGGGAGGAAAAAAAAAAAAGTCTAACTTGGCTATGCCTGCCTGCTGGTATTATAGGTGGAAACCACCGTTCAGGGATAAAAGAAGACTGCTTTTTATACCTGTTATCTTTCTGTGGATATCGCTTTTCCAGTCCTTAAAAAGCACCCACATGACAGCTCACAACTGTGACTCCAGTTCTAGGGGACCCAACACCCAAGACAAAACAGCAGTACACATCCCTGGCAGGGTGTTAGTAGAGTTAAAGTACATAAGCACTAAACTTTCACCTTGTTTCAAAGGCTGCTTGTGTTGAAGCGTACCTACATTGGGTCATTTGTCATCAGGCAGAATGTAGCAGTGTTTCCACTTAACGTTTATCTGCACACCAAGTGTGTACCTGGTGCCAGAGGGGCTTGAAAGAGGACGTTGGCTTTTTTTTTTTCTCTCAATTGAAGCTACAGCTACCATGTGGGTGCTGAGACTTGAACCTGTGTCCTCTGAAAGAACAGCCTGTGTTCTTTATAGCTGATCCATCTCTCCAGGCCCTAAAGATAATCCTTGCTGATATTGGTGAAGGTGTGTCAAGAAAACAAATTCTTGGAGCAAAGCCTTTTTAATGAATATTTTACAAATACACCAGAGAATCATGCAATGCTGCCTGCATTGGATGCAATCCTGGGCCACAAGTCTGCACATTCCTTTGCGACTGGACCTGTGATAGCAGAACCTGCACAGAAAAGGAAGACAGGTCAGACAGAGGGCCAGACAGTTCATGCTCCCAGAGCAGTCACCCAGCCTGAGACACACAAGATAGCTTGAACTGATTCGTACCTTTCATCTCGCCTTTATTGTTTACTATGACTCCTGCATTGTCTTCAAAATAAAGAAACACCCCATCTTTTCTTCGATACGACTTTCGTTGTCGAATTACCACCGCTGGATGGACTAAGGAGGAAAAACAGGGCAGCAGTTATCAGCTGGCAAAGCCCGAGAACAAGCATAAAGGCAAGCAGCTATACCACAGAATGTCCACTCAGCATTAGGTTTCCATCACCTAGCTGTGAGGACAAGAATCAATGCAAACATCACCCCTTAAGCAGCCATCATTTTTGTTCAGAAATAGATATATACATTCCTTTCCAGAACAATTCCAAAATACAAACTTAAAACACTGTCTGCTACGCCTTTCCCTCTTATCTAGCAAGCTAGGACCAGAGGATCAGAAGTCAGCCCAAGAGCTCAGTTGACAGAATTTGCCTTGTATGCAAGAGTGATGTAGTTAGTACATGCCTGTAACCTAGCACTCTAATGAAGAATGTGGCCTTCACAACGATAACCTTAGAGGGCTTCCCCTACAACGCACACACATTTTGACCTACAAATATTAACTACACCAAATAAAAATATATTTTTACGTGTCAGTTTCTACATAGTTCCTTGTTTGCTGTCCAACACATCTAAAGAGAACCCATTACTGGTGTGTGTTTGAAGTATATTACCCCCTGAACTGCCCAATTAATGCCCAGTACACTCTACCTTACTAAGGACAGGAAATGTTTTCTTTAGACTTTGTGTTCCTTTAGTGGAGAAAGATCCCTCATCGGTATTCAGTGATGCACAAATATAATACGCAATCCATTCTGTTACTTTTGCCTATTGATGAGGTAGTTCCACTTGGAAAAAACAAGACTAGATCCCTTTGGGACCTTACCGATGTCAGACAAGACACTTCAACAAGAACCACCACCATCTCTTCATAGTCTAACAACCACCTAGCCTGGCTTCCACTTCTATTGTAGAATTAGAACTAAGCTCAATTTTTAAAGCTACCTGTTTAAAAGCCCTCTCTTCTGCATATTCAAGTTGAAGCACTATCTTTATGCACAATATTAAGACTGAATTCCTGAAGACTCCCGTTAAAGATTCTGACTCCCGTTAAAGATACAGAGCAGGAAAAAATAAGTAACTAATACTAAGTCTCAATTGGAGATTCCCAACTATGATGGCAGAAACCAAGGATGTCCCCACCAGGGGTAGAGACAACAGCACAGCACAGCCAGCTGTGACCCTCCCCACAGTGAGGGTCACATGCTCTCCTCTCCTCTGACAGCTTCCTGAGGCACCAACCAGAGCTTGGAAGTGTTCTGAGAAGAGGCTTTGGGGGACAAAGCTAGCTCCTCCCCGCCCCCATCAGTCTCTGTGTAGCTTTGCAGCCTGTCCTGGAACTCGCAGAGATCCACCTGGCTCTGCCTCCCCAAGTGCTGGGATTAAAGATGTGTGCCACCACAGCCTGGCTTTCCCCAGTTTTTTTGAGACCGGACATCTGTGTACCCCTGGCTGTCCTGGAACTTGCTCTGCAGACCAGGCTGGCCTCAAACACAGAGATTCACCTGCCTCTGCCTCATGGAGTGCTTGGACTAAAGGGGTGTGACACCATCATTGCTCAGCACACAAAGATTTCTAACTAAACACTGGGGTTTGTGGAGGCTGACTGCAAAGTGTTGCTATAGCACAGCAGCACCCCCCCCACCCCATTTGTGCCATGCCAAGGGACTGCTAGAAACGTCCCTGGGGGGGGAAAAAATACAACAGTGCTTTTAAACCCAGCACCTTGGAAACTGAGGTGTGTGGATCTGAGTTCAAGGCCAGGCAGGTCTACATTGAAACCCTGCAGTGAAAGAGTTCCATAGCCAGCCAGGGAGGTTGAGGCTTGTCCCTTTTAATTCATCCATATACCTGATGGGAACACTTTTTGGGGTTGTGCTTTACTCCGTTTATGGCTATCACAAAAGGAAACATGCTCATCTGTGGTGACAAGACACCTTTATAGCTGTGCTTGCTTCCAGCTGTTCAAACAATAAGCCACACATCAAACACACCCATTCAGGATTACCATACCAGGAACCAGAGACCTTTCCTCACAAAACCAGGTGGTCTATTACTGTCTGATGAACTTTGCCAAGTGAGCCACAGATTAAACAGCAGAGACCTGGGCTTACAGAAGAATATTTAGGAAAACGACAAGATATTCCATAAGCCAAAACAGTCAGGCCTGTGGCTCATGCCCCAAAGTCCAATACAGGTTACAAAGTCAAAAGTTGTCTGGGAGCACCAAAAACTGAAGGAGCAGTACAACCGATCAACAGCGTCTCAAATGAACAGAAGTCATGTGGAGGTTTTGGCAGCCACCAAAATAAGATTAAAAAAAAAAAAAATTCCCTTCCCCAATATTTGGGGAACTTCAACTATCCACCATGGTCTACTCACCCTTTTTTCTTAGTTCTGGTTTGCCTTTCTTAACTGTGGCCATCACCATGTCGCCCACACCAGCAGCAGGAAGTCTGTTCAGTCGTCCCTTGATTCCCTTCACAGAGATGATATACAAATTTTTGGCTCCTACCAAAACGAGAAAAGAAAAGTTAAAAATAAAACAGGTGCAAAGAAAAATAATATTTGCAGGAGACGGCGGCGGTATTGCCCGCTTAGGGTCAGCCCGAGCCACGCAGCCAAGTATCTCAACCTCAAA